ATAAGGTAAAATACAAAGTAATTATAATAATAATAAAAAAAAAAAGGAGACAAAAAGTTAGAAAGAACAAGTTACTTAGACGCTGGCCGGCTGGACAGCGGGACCGATATAGAGGTTGATTTTGATCCAATCAAATATTGGAGGAAAAGCATCGAAAAATGAGAGAGGATCACTTCACTTTTTCTTTTTTTTTTCTTTTATTAGGATAAGTGGTTCAAGAAAAGGTGAAGAGGGAGATCAAACTTTTATAATAATGAAAAAAATTTATATTAAGTTATTGAATTATTAAACCGATAGATTTATTCAGGACTACTTCACTTTTAAAATGTAAATTTGGTAGAGGAGTTGGAGATATCCTTTTAGCCAACAAAGTTTAATATTTGATTATTTAGGCTGCGTGTAAATGACCCAAAAGTTTCCGTATCACTCTTGAATTTGGCCGAGTCCATAATAAGCCCATTTATTAATTTTATGTCTTTAATTTAACTCTTTATAAAAATCTTTCATTTATTTAGGTAGGACCTAGTAGTATTGGGTTTAATAATACTATAAAATTTCGGGTTCAAGGTATGGCTCGTGCCTAACAAACCTATTAGTTAAATTTATATATTTGATTTTACTTTTCATAAAAAGATTTTCATTTATTTATGGTAGGATCTAATAACATTAGACTTAATAATACTATAAATTTTTTAAGCCCAGGTAGGGCCCGTGCCTAACCCTGGGCCTAAGTAGTTCTGCCACTGTTAGTCAATAACTTTCATATTATTTATTTGTAAATGGTATATGGCTCCTCAGTGAAACCAAGTCGTCTTTGGAAATTCAAGTCAGCTAACGCGTCCTTGATAATTGTTATTTTCTTTTAATTATTTTTTCTTTAATTATTCAAATAAATTTAAGAGAAATTATTTTAGAAAATAATTAATACATTTTTTGATTTAATATATTTTTTAATATTGTCTCAATTTGATTATTAAAATATAATATAAGTAAAATCGATTTAATCAATTCATATGTTCTATATGTATGTTTGTATTTTTAAATTTGTTTGTCTTTAATT